TTTTTTGGTCGAAATGTCAACAAAGATCAAGTTCATGGTTCGGCACTTCTTAAAGTCAGTAAATAATGATCCCAGCAGCAATAAACATTGAGCCTTAATTTACAACATACTGTCAGTTCTAGAAGGCAGCCTGCGGAAGAAGTTGATGGGTGCGGATGGTAGTCTATGGCGAAATCTTGGATGCCTCATCATAAAGAAGCCTATCAATGCTGCCACTACCTGGAATGGTGTCACATACATCACCAAGGCAGCTATGAGGCACAATGTCACGAAAAGGGCTGAAGCACGCGGATCACGCCAGCTCAACAGTGCCTGAAACCGCTCCCCTTGGGTAGCTATATCACCAACTACAGTCTGAATTCTACCAGCTACGCTCCTTAGGCGATCATACCTCATTCTCACCAGCTCCGGATTCCTGCTTGTTGGAAATGTGTCAAATTCCTCATCAAGCTCATCAGGGTGCACTAGCTCGGCTTGTGAGATCTTTGTGTTCATGTGAGGAGGATATCTAGGCCTGTAGCGGAAGTTCCATATCCCTATCAGAAACATGTAAAGAAAAGCTGTGGGCAGAATTAGTTCTGGGAAGCAAACAAGCATAAGGAAGAGAACATGGACAAGCACTGTGGTTATCGGATTCTTCCACATGCATATATCAGTAAACCATTTTCCAACAGCAAATACTCCTGAGAAAACCGTCATAAGCCTGAAGAAATTTGCTTTGCTCCGTCTCATGCTCCAAAGATGTGAGTCCACGTCAGACATGTATTCCACCACTTCCTTCCTAAGTGGTGGCTCAGCTCGGCCTAACCTTGCTGCAACTATGTTCACAGCCTGGTGACGTAACATGTCAAGCTGGATAACATTGAAGGGCCTTACATAGTGCATCTTTGGCAGCAGTGGCTTTGAGTATACGTAAAGCATGTTTACAAAAGACGTGCATGAAAATCGAATTGCCAAATGCAACTCCCCCATCTTCTTAACACCAGCAGGGTGAAGAACCAACAAGGGATATGAGTGAGTATATATACGGCCTGCTTCAAGTGTTGAGATACGAATTCGAACCTTCCCAATCTTCAGGTCTTTACCATGAGAATCCTTGTCCCCAAGCTGGCTGTTGTCAAATACTCCTACAGTAAGAACTGTAGCAGGATCAAAGACTTCCCAAGTGTACTGTTCATTGTATTTTGGACTCAGGTTGTCAACAAGGGTCCTTGTCCTGACCCATTTATGACCATACTTTGCCACACAATATGTATCTGATGTGCCCCTTCCATCACGTGTTTTCATGGGGTGAAGCCCCACCGCATTCAAGATTCCAAGTTCTAAAACCCCAATAGATGGCCTCCATAGCTGCTTTGCTGTGGGGCGTAAATCACTACTATAATGAGTAGACTCATCAAGAACATGATATCCTCCATCAAGACAAACTCGAAGATGAAGGCGGCTTGAGAACTTTTCTTTTTTCAACTGATCTATATCCACAACAACTGGCTTTTCCAGATTAAACCATCGGGAATGGATCATGCGGTCATCAGCACGCCTATCTACAGAGTTAAGCGGTAATATGACCCTCCCAATGATTTCATCTTTTCCAGGGCCAACACGATCCTCAACTGAAATGACAAGATGATCTTCAAAGGGTTCTGAAGCAACAAACAAAAGGTCTTCATTCCAAAGGGGGTTTAGATTCCGAGCCTGGAGTGTCTTTGTTTTCAAAACCTGGTTTCCAAGCTGTACTTTGACATATGCATCTGGGAAACGATTCTTCTCCACTGCAAAAAGGTCTTGTGCCTCAATAACATTGACACGCACATACCACAACCTTGGTGCATGGTAGACCTTCGAACGTATTGCTGTGGAGGCAGCTGGTGTGCTATCAGCAGGAGTAGCTGCATCAGAATGCCAGGCATCAGAAAAGGCTTCGTCTGCTTGGGTGCCAATCCAGACTGCCAGCATAAGTTCACTCTTAATCTTCTCTCCTTTCTTGTCCTCAAGCCGGTACCACTCTGGAGCCAGAGGACTATCTGGCGGAACTCTAAGTGGCACCTCATTGATGTCAAATCTTACTAGCCCAACAAAGTCATCTTTAATTAGATCCTTGTCCTTAATCACAACTTCTAACACAGATGCCTGCATTCGATCCTTTGAGAACGCAAAAACCTGATTCCATACTGGATTTTGTTGCTTCTCAAAGTGCTTTGTAATCCCTCTGTAGTTTCCAATTCTTACCTCAACAAATGGATCAAGACTCCCTGTAACATCCATGGCAGGAAGCTCACGAGCCTTAACAACCCTTACGTAGAGAAAATACATGCGTTCTACTAGATCATAGGTGCTCGCAGTCTTGTCTCCGTGAATAACACGGCCACCAACAACTCTTCCGCCTCCAAGGTAAGGGCTTGTCTCTTTTAATGCAAAATCAACAGGCTGTGATGATGAAGCAGAGTGCATGCGAACGAGCCTTGCAGGCTGTGGTTGTTCAGATTTCATTTGATCAGCTTCATACTTGGGTACATAGTGGGAATCTGGTGCAGCAGAAGCATGAGGCTGATGTTGTTGATCATGACCTGGATGAGGAAGATGATGAAAGGTGTGTCTCGTCTCAACCTTCTCCTTTCGAAAAGAGTTCATGATAGGATTTGAATCTCCTTGAGCCTGTTCATGATCCGAATTTGCGAGAGATTCAACAGCAGGGGTTGGGGTGGAGGACCTAATTGATGGGTCATCAGTAACATAAATCTTTAAGCCAAGCTCTCCTCTTACACGAGAAAATATGCCACGCTTTTCCAAAGGGTAATGCAAGACAACAGCATCAGAATAAGGAACAAATGAATTCCCTGTGAGGCTTATCTTTCCAAGGAAGGACCTGGAGTAGGTAGCTTTGACATTATTGTAGACATAGGCCTCAAGTGTAAGATAGTGGAGGTTGGAAGGATCAGATATGTTGAAGTAGAAGCTCTCATTCCAAACAGGGTTGAGATCCTTTTCTTTAAGAGTGCTACGGAACCTCTGACCGTCAAAGTAAAGCTCCACAAAGGCACTGGAAGAACCTTGCCCATCTTTAGGCAAAAGGTTGTGAGCGCTAACTACGTCTACCCCGAGCTTAAGGTTGTTCATAGTAATTGCAGAAATGGAAAAGAATTACAGGTACCTGCAGAGAAGGGAATAATTAAAATGAGATACTGATGTATATGTGTAATCGAAAGCAGTGAAATGTAACAGAGAGATGAACAACTAAGCTGAAACTTGATAGAGAAAATTTAAGCAAGAGCATACTGACTACTGAGATCACATTAGTCAAGCTGGACATGCATCAAAATGCTTGTCAAAGAAAAGAAACCATTAACTGAATATTTTTAACGCCCACATATTGATTGATCAGCATTCAATATTACCAACTGCAACTAATTATTTTTTTATAAAAGGAAACGAAAGAAAAACCATGGAACAGGATCCACAGAAAAAGCCATGGAACAAGACTGTGAACTGTTAAATTTCTGGAACTAAAATGCTCACCTTGTCCAAGAGCAGAGTCTATGGCAAAAAAATGACACCCTAATATACAGTCTAGAAGATCTTCTTTTAACTTCTTCTGCATATTTTACTGGACTAAATTTTTTTAATTATTAGTGGAAAATATAAATTATAAAGATTCAAGCCAATCTCCAAATTCTTTATTGGCCAAAACATCTGCTAACTTGAAAAATACAAAAAGTGACACTTCAAACTAAACAAACCATTTGGGTTAGATTGGGAAAGCAAACAAGTCAGCAACTTTTTAGCATAAGCATGTGCAAGAT